ATATACATATATATAATCATGTCACGTTTGGAGGCTGCACAAAACATTTCAGAGGCCCAGAGGCCGCACTTTGAGAAACTATAATATAGACAGCAATAAGTGGTTGATATTTGTAGTTTTTGTCGTAAACCAATACATAAGTCAAATTACTTTTCATCTTCTGATCATTCAAATAGGACCAAGACATATAGTCTTAAATTCGAACACCAGAGTTATAGTCTGGGGTTCGAATCCGGCTGGTTGCATCTCTCTCTCCATCATTTCCAGTCACCTCTCTGTTGTCTATAATAAAGGCTTAAAATGCCTGAAAAAATACTTGAAAGTAACAAGCCTCATCTGATCCTTTACCATTACAATTGCCCTGGTTTAAAGCAGAAAAAAATGAGCTAATGAATGCCAGCTTAGCACACCAGGTCCTCATAATGTGTCCAAGCGAATCTCAAGACTCTACATCACCTCTCTCCTGCAGGCCAGACAGCTCCTGGAGCAAGAGTACAACTCCCTCATCTCCATGGGAACCGAGAGGCGACCCGATGAGGTCAGCATGCTAATCAGCTTGAGGAAATAGAAAAAATTTAAAACACAGATGGAAGTTTTGTTCACACACTCTATCTGTCTGACAGGATGGTACCAAGACGTTCACCCGCTCGCCCTCCTGGAGGAAGATGTTTAGAGAGAAAGACCTCCGGGGCGTGACCTCTGACTCCGCCGAGACCCTGCCTGCTAACTTCCGTGCCTCAGCCATCTCCACGCCCTCCGTTACCCTGAGAAAGGTCCAGAGTGACGGTGAGTACGACCATTGATCTCTGACACCTTCACTCTCATATTCACATTTGAAGCCCACGAGGCGCGTCTCAATTTAGACGATGTGTGAAAACCTGTTACTCTATATGGCATTACTCACATGAAGAGCATGACAGAAATAAGATCGGGCCTGTTGCAGCTAGGTCACAGGGCTAGCTGTGACAATTATTCTGCAGGTCTGACAATAAATGAGCCATGTGTTTACATCTTGATTTATTGGAAATGAGCCTTGAACAGAAATATTTTGCTTTCAGCCAACATACAGCGTGCCTTATATAAGCCACTGCAATTTCAAAAACCAGAGTCGGTTGTTTTCATGCTACTCTGCCATTAGTTTGGCAGTGGAATTTTCTATTTCCTTTAGCAGAGGAACCGACAATAACAAGGAACAGACGCTTTAAAGTACAGAGGAAGACTATTATCCTTCATTCCACTTCTTAATAAGAATGCCTCTGGAAGGTCAGTGCTGTTTAAGACACTGCAGTTGCGATAATGACCCCGTTTGTGTCTGTCTCTCGGTCTCCAACACAGCCAGCTCTGGTGCCCGGGGTGAATCTGCCTCAGTGAGGACGTACTCCTGTTGAGGGGCTGAGGTGAGAACTGTCCACCACATTAATTAAACTGTCTAGTAGTGTTTCATCCGTGTGGGGTTTTTATCTGTGCGGCGAGACAAAACAGTTTCTCTAAGCTGCCGAGATGGCTTGCACATGTGCCGAGCACATTCGTTTGAACCTCTTTGTTTTATGTATTTGTTTGTTGTAGTGGATTGGTTTGTGCCTCGGATTTTAGTAGTTCCCCTAAGGTCTTCAAGTGGTGGGTTTGGTTGGTGGGGATTTAGGCCGAGTTGAATTAAGGCCACAGAAGCAATGACGTGGTAATAATGCTGTTTCTTTCCTCAGGGCGCTGACTGGATTGGGACTAGAGGACCCTCTTGCTCATCCACAGAGAAAGAAGCAATGAATATAACCATTTAACTTAAAAATAAATCTATCGGTCTGACCATTCTGCAATAACAGAAGCAAAGGAATAAAGGGGAAAATGACATGAAGAATGTATGAATGTGTTTTCCGACCAGACTAGGAGGGTTGAATTGGGATCAGCTGTTTTCTCTCTCTGTCTCTCTCTCTTCCTGTCATTCTGTCTTTGCTCTTTCTCTTTTGATGTGACTGTGCTGTGGGGTTAATAAAGGACAACGCCGGTGTTGGTTGGGTTTGTGCCGGTCGTGCAGGTTTCCCCTCTCTTCATTCCTGTCAGAGTCTGTACACAGTCAGCAGAGTTGGCAATATCAGGGCTCATTTTCCTACCTTCAGAGGAAACCACTTGCTGCCATTTATTCTCTTACAGTTTAAAAACAACTAAACGTGTCGCCTTATAACTTCTGCTCCACAACAGGTGTTTTTAATGAGAGCCAGGGCAGAAGTAAACCTCATCGTAAAGTTTAGATTTTAAAAACAAGAGGAATGACTGGAAGGATGTTAAAATGATTGGGGGAAATGACTGCATGGACATAAAACCGGTTATAACTCCAAACAACACCAGTGTTCTCCTTTCTACTCATGAGTCAGCCGGTGTCCAGTGTCAGCCATTGTGGCTCCATTGTCGGCTTCTATGGTCCCGTCAGGGGTGTCTAAGTGCTCCCAATTGGTCGGAGTAGTGTAGTAAAACACGTCTGAACTCAGACCATTATTTAGCTCCGACCACATCAGAGGGACCTTCCTCATGCTTTGTCTATTGGCACCTTGAAAGCCGATAGGCTGAATAATCTCTTTTGAAGGGACCCTATTATAGAGATCAAAGGCATTAGAGGTTGATGGGACAGGGTGGAGGGAGGCCACAGAGGCATTGTGTTCACTGATTTCACAGTGTCGATGGCAGGAAATCCATACAGTCAGCATTGGTACCACTTTCTGGCGTACTTTACAAGGAGTTTATAAATTCTTACATTTGGGTCTATCAATTTTAAAGGGGAACACCACATATTTTTACATTACATTGAGTTTACTCATCAGGAAGAGTGTGAAAACGGTTGTGGGATGTCTTCTTTGGTGCTGGAGGAGCTAAACCCTCACAATGCCATAGTGATTCCATCAGGGAAATTTAAAATTGGTTTGCTGGGCATTTAGGAGATACAGGGATTATTGAAAGACGATACTGTGTTGCGTTCCGGGAAATGTAGGATCCACCATTCTTGGAGCTTCACCCATATTAGAGACTATAAAGTCAGGATGTATCTGCTTCTGATGCTTCGATTTTCACCAATTTAAAAAATAAATCTGCCTCTTGTGAGATGCCCAACTTTGTCCAAGAGCAATGCTAAAACATTTAAATACTCATTCAATAAGTAATGTATTAATGCTTTACAGAAAAAGAAGTAAAGCATATACTACAGTAATAACAACACATTTTAGTTTGCCAAATTGTAAAAAATCCATTTGAATGGTTCTTATTCTTTGTGAGGACACCACTGATGGACAGTTCAAACACACACATTACCTTCTATAACTGCAGACCTGTAGCTACATATGAGGCTCATGTAAAAAGTCAAGTTTTCTGACTTAGCAATGAGCCAAATGCAGCTTTAGTAATAAAAGGTTCTTCCACTCCAAATATCTACCCTGAGTAGAATTTAAAATGTTATAATAAGTTGTTAATAGATGGATTCAGAATGACAAGATCTTATTTGTATCTTATTTCTGCATTTCTACAAATTGAAACATAATTAACATGAAAACGCCTCTGATTGCGAATTGTAAACCCTTGGTAAAGTATGCCTTATAACAACGTGGTACCAAAGTGTTGCTTATATTTAGGAAAGCTTGACCTTGACACTGAGGTCAGACAGACTCCTCACTAGCCCTCCACGATGCCGTTGTGCGGTTTATGACTTGTAATCATCAGCTCAGGGTCTTGGGTAATCCTGATGATGGGAGAGGGTGTCAGAGAGACAAAACAGCAACTCACAGGGAGGAAAGAAAAAAACTAAAAGGGTGGACAGAAGCCGGTCATTTTACTGCACACACAAGCCATAACAGAAACCAAGAGCTCTCTGGGGGGTGAGATCAGATAGAGGCAGGAAGAGAGGGCGAGCCCGAGGAAGCCCAGGAAACAAAACCTTTAGCCTCTGTGTTTACGATGCATGTCAAACAAACGACAATGACCTAAAAAGATTTTTTTGGTGGTGAAGATGATATGAGGTGTCTTTAAAAAAAATATATATCTGTATGATAAACCTACAGGGGGTGGGAGCCTGGGGATCAATTTGTAAAATGTGTGTATTTTTTTCAGTTGTATTTTTTATTTTTTACGATATCTATTTATTTTCTTTAGGTATGTATTGGATAAACGTATGTACATGTTCTGTTCCTTCTTGACTTCATTTGAACTAGTTTTAAAAGTAAATATGAAACATTGAAAATGGTCATTCAAATACGCTACTGTATGTGTACATTTTGAGAACAAATTGTGCAATGATTTAACAGATTTCCATGATTAAAGTGATAGTAATACAAATGGAAAATATCATCTGGAAAATAAACAATAATGATGATGATGATAATGAAAATGGTGATGTAAAAGAAAAAAATAAATAAAGCGATCCAGGTGGATCTGCTGATCATCGCAAACTTTCTCCATTGATCTTTTCCCCATTGATTTGTTTTATTGTCTCTTCCTGCAGGTGTGTGCAGTGGTTGACTGTAACTCCGTACTTACTACTTACTACTTCATCACAGTTATGAGGCTAATATTGTACTTTATACTCCACTACATAGATTTTCCATTGAGAATTTTGCAGATTAAGATTTTACACACAATATATGCAGGACTTTTACTTGTAATGGAGTATTTTTAAATTATGGTATGGCTACTTTTACATCACAGATCTGAATACTGTGTTTTATGAAGCTGTAGTTTGAGTAAACTGCTTCTTTCTGGCAGATTACAGCAGTAAAACACCTTAAATTTACTACTCATGGCTTTATTTTTTTACCAAAATGTGTTTCGAGTGAGTGTTTTGAGCAGTTGTGTAACAATAATTTGCTGAGTACAAAGATCCTTTATTACCACATTTCGCAGGCAAACTGAACAAACCAGCAGATGGTAAAATTTGCTTGTTTAGGTGTCATATAATTTACAAACCACATGGTTTTACATTCATGAACCACATTTAACAAGTTCCACGGAGGAGATGTATCCTGCCACAAAACTGTCAAAATCATCAGCCTAAGTGAAATCATGCTTAAGTGTGCCCATGCTGTAATTTCCGTATCCAATACGTTTCCCCCCCTCTGTCAGACTCAGTTGCTGAAAGCACTGTTACAATATTAATGGTAATCCATACGGGAACATTGTGGAGCAGTAAAATTGAGCCTCAGTAGGTGGCGCTCCTTCCTCTCACAACCTGAGCGGACCAGAGGCTGGAATTATCATCAGACACTGGAGAGACCTACCACTCCATGAGGACTTCTTCTATAAATACACACAGATATACATAGCTTCATACATAAAGGTATACTGGTGTCATATTGTACACATATATAAAGGAATATATTAATATCAAAGACATACACATGCTTACATACTAATCAAAAATAACTTAGATTATGAAAAGATAAATCATACAAAAACAGTACTTTTTGAAGTAAAATCTCTATATATGACAATATTCCCTAAGATCTAGTATTGAGGTCTTGTTGTTTTTTTCAAAAGTCATTTGAAGTGGTGGAGGGAGGGATGGAAAGGAGAGAGATATCTGAAAAACTGGACTAAGGCAGAAATAACCAAATCCATCATGTCGAAGGAAACGCCACCAGCAAGAGAAAGTGCACACAGAAGGATGTCACAGCTGCTCTGCTCTGTGTCACTTTCTACTTCTTGCCATCTCTCTTTTTCACTCTCTCTCTGTCTCCCCCCTCCTCTCTCAGCCTCTCCCCTTCCTCGTCAAGACCTCCCTCCCGACAGCCTGATTTGCTCTGGACAGCAGCACACAGACGCAGGACGAGTCGATTCGGATCCACCTCCATCCGGTTCTGTTGTTTGCGTCTTTGGTGAGCGCTCGGACGTACGATTGCTTGGCTTTGCACTCGCTCACCCACTGTCTTTTATCCACGCCCAAGCACCCGGCCCCAGCAACGCCAGTCACGGGAGATTTCGCTGCCGCGCCAGGGCCCTTTGACCTGCTAGTGTTGGTCTGCTCCTCGGCTTGGCGGCAGCGAGTCTCGTAGAAGTACTGTTTGAGTGGTCCTGTCTGGGTCTGGATATTCTGTAAGATGGTGACCGTCTGACCGTGGGAGTCAATGGCGGTTGTCTTGTCAATAACCCAAACACTTTCCGAGTCACACACCGACTTTTCCCCTCTCCTTCTGTCAATCAGGTGAGAGCGTTTATCCCTTTTAACAGCACGGGCAACATCCGCTGTAATTCTGGGCGAGTCTGCCCAATTCAGAGTTGTGCTCTTGTCGATTGCCCGGTCCCCATGACCCTCTATGTGTCCGTCCATGTCCTCCTGCTCCTCTCTGTTCCCGTCCTCCTCCAGCAGGCCAGTCTCCAACATGAGCAGGAGAGGGGGGTGTTCTGGAGGCGACGGGGAGGGTGAGAACAGGACTCGTGGGTGTGCGTCCAAAAACATTTCGTCTCCTTCTAAAATATTGTCCAGCCCAGTCCCCAGACCCAGCCCTGCCTCCAGGCTCAAGTTCTCCTCAGCCAGACCTCTTCCACCCCCTGGTGTCCACTGGCTTCCTGTCCCAATTGTAGGTGAATTTCCGAGCTTGTCCGAGGGAACAGTTGGTTCTGGTCCTCTTTGACCCTTCAGATTAGCAGCAGGACTGACAACATTATGGGTTTCCACTGTAGGAACCAGCAACAGTCTTCCTGCAGAGTCCTGAAGACTGTCCTTCTTGGAAAAGTCCACAAAACTGGAGTAATCTTGCTTGCTGCTGCTGTCAGCTTTGTAGTCCTTTGGTAGAGAATTATCCTCGGAAATATCCTCGGTCCTGAGCGTTCCTCCTGCGGGAACATCCAAACTGACACTGCTTTTGTCATCGCTGCCTGAGTTGCTATTTGATTGATTCTCCACGTTGAACGTGGAAGTGTCTTCATTTTCAGAGGATTTCATATAATCCTTACGCTTCCGGAGGTTTTGTCCGTTAGTGTGTTGGCTAAGAGCAGCAGCCACGTTGTAGTCCGTTTGTGAGGCATTTCCATGGTAGTTGTAGTCCACGGGGGGAGCTGCAAGGCGAGCAGCCGGGTCATGGCGGTTGTCAAAGCCAGGCTCTGTTGTCGCGGCAGCAATCGTGGACACAGGGTTGTGAGGGAAGGGCAGGGCCGAGGCAATCACCATGGCAACCAGGGGAAGCCAGTGCATCACTCCCAAGACGTATCAGCTGATGGATAAAACAGAGGTAATAGATGGGAGAGACAGAGAGGAAGAACAAGACAATGTTATTTTATACAATGCAAATTGTGGCTTCTACAGTTAACCTAAGTACCTCAATTAAAATGTAAAATGAGAGGTTTTACTGGTGGCCCGCAGCTTTATGACCATGGTGCTTTAACTGCTGAGGTATGGCTTTAAAATCTTGGCAGAACTCGTGGAAAAATAGGACTAAGTACAAAAAGGTCACCCTCTGCTTCTGCACGTGGGAAGATGAAGTTCAGCTACGAACGCTGTAGATTCTGCCGTCTGAAGGGCTGACCTTCGAACAGAGACAACCTGGTATGTATGCAAGTCAGAAACTTTATAGCCAATGGAAATGGATTAAAAAGACATCTGCGACACAAGAAAATAAGCCTTCCCTTTCAGCTTTTATGGGCATGATCTTGTATTTCTAACTTTTTTTGTGTTGTGGTGTTAGAGCTTTTTTTTAAGATCCAAGAATCTAGGAATTTCTTTAAATCTGTAGTAACAAACTTGGCTTACCTCTGGTCTACATACATAAACACATAAATTACAAGAAAGCATCCTCCCAGTACTGCTGAGGTAAACCTCAGGTATTCTACCTGATCACACCTGGTCTGTGGGTAAATTTGTTTTCCTTTGAAAAGGTGATGTCTGAACACGATACAATAGATCTGCTGCCTCGGATTGGAAGAGTTTACTTATACCGTGATGTGCAATCATCACTATTGTAAATGTCCTGCCTGCCATAACCTGCATTATTTAAACTCTGTGCAGCTTGTAATCACAAAATTATTGGTAGTTGATTTTCATATGATACAAACACTGCATAATTTTCATATATAAATCTGCTTTTACGGTGCTTTTTCTTCTTTATTCAAGAGCGTGGTCTTTCAATTTAAGAGCATGACTTACTGATTTCACGTTCAGATTTTGTAACGCAGGAAATCTGTTAACAGAACAAAAAGTAACAATATATCTGATGTGCATACATACGGTTTGATTACAAGCAGAGCAATTCGGAGCGCAAGCAGGGGCTATCTGAGAGTGATGGCACAGTTTTGAGGGAAAGCAGTACAAAATCTGAATGTGAAATCAATGAGTCATGCTCTCAAATTGAACGACTGCGCTCTTGAAAGAAGAATAATGAAAAAGCCCAATACAGTTTAGGGTAGAGTAATGCAGCATTAGCAGTAGGGAAAATGTACAATCTCAAAAAGACTACAGTACAGTATGATATAACTGTTTATTTTAGAGCCCAGTGATTTTTGAGAAAATGTATGGCTACTATTTTCATCATTTCAAGTGAAATCAAATTTCACACATCATTTTAACACGTCACCTCCACTGTTTTATAGACCAATTCATTGATTAATTAATCAAGAAAATACTCAGCAGATTAATCTATATTGAAAGCTATTGTTAATCGCAGGTCTGGTGTATTTAATTAATTTAATTTTTTATTAAAATTAAGCCAAAATATTAATATTTTAATAAAAAAATATACAAAATTCACTTTTTCTTGGTGTCAGAGTGAACAATGATCACAGTTTGACAGATTTAGCCAATCTTTCTTATTCATAACTAATTCATCTGATGCTATATTAAAAGGTTTAAACTGTTTAAAACTCAAATAAAACACTCCCTCGTGTAAGTCCACTGCAAACACTCACACTGCAACATGACTTTTGTACAAGGTACATGAGTTTGTCACGTCTGACATCATTTACATTAAACAAAAAGCATGAGTCAAGCAGAGGTGATTCATTTAACTATTTCAAAATAAAGTTCACCAGTGACTAACTGTACAAATATTCCAGTCACCCATCCACGTGGCATGCACAGTGGGATGGCATTCAAGCAGTATGCAGAAGCCTGCACGGCGGAGGTGAACATCCGTTTAGTCGTTTGTTTGAAAGCAGGGAGGAGGTCACTTGGAAAGAGTTAAAATAGGTGGAATGATCAGAATGCCAGTGATGCAGCTTTACTGGCGAGGCTCCTTCACAGTGTCCTCGGGCAGCAGAGAGGGGAGAAAAAAAACATGCAGGGCAACAGAAAACACAGTAAGTGTGAAGTAAGTGGATGCCATGGCTGTTTGTTTGCTCGTGGTGACTGAACGAATGCATCATCAGTGACCATCGGTGAGTGTGTGTGAACACGTGAATGAGTGACAAAACAAAAACCCTTTCAGTGACGGGACATGTACTCAGCAGGGCCACACCCTGGACACAATGCAGCCGCTGAGGAGCAACAAGGTTTGGTCGACACATCACTCATGCTGTCACCTCGGGCGCTCTGTCGTGCTGACGATAAAACACATCAAAGTGGATTGGAGCTTCCTGTTTTCTCTGGCTACTGATCCACGTACCGGGCCTGCCAACGTAAACCCAGGTGTTTGTGTGATGAAGGCAAAATAAACGGCAAACCCGGGCCAAACACACCCCTCAAACACGGAGAGAGCAGCCAATGGCAATTAAAGCTGAAAACAAAGTGTGTGCAGCTAAGGAGAACATACAGTCTGGTGACGATAGTAGGAGAAGATGATCTCAACTGCGGGGAGGAGGTGCTGCAGGGTGAATATCCAGGAAGAATCTGGATCATTTGTGTTATGTGAGTGTGGAGGAGAGCTATATGCTTCTTAAGGGCTTTTCTTGGAGCACTGTGACACCACACAGAAGGCAGGCAGGCAGACTCTCTAAGTGGTTTCTTTGTAAAACAGCAGCAGCAGCACTTCATCACCATGCTCCATTTGCTACAATGACACGCATCATTTACGCTCCCTGCAAGGCTAGACGAGGACCACGACGTTCTTCCGCCGTCTGGACCAGACCCAAGCACTCTCAATCCCCCACCCCAATAGGAACACACGCCGAAAAAAAGAAAAAATTCTAGTCTCTAAATCAAAAACCTCACTTAGTAAACAAAACCCCACCCAACACTACACACTTATGTTAATCCTAATCTCCGTAGCCTGAAATTCTTCCAAGTGAGCACAGGAAGAATAACCTGAACCACAGAACAGGGCCTAAACAAACAGACAGAAAGCAACCACGTCATCAAGCAAAACTCCATGAATAAACAGGCTAAACAGACTAAACTATGACATTAGCTGCAAGGCTTCCATGAACTGCAGTGGCACCCTGTATTATTTAGCATTAATTATCTAACCTTTTTGACTATATATTCATTAAATAGCTGAGAACCGGCCTGCATTGGGAGTCTCATATGTTGGCTTAGATCCTCCAGTGTTCAGAAAGTTATAGCAAACCTGGACGGAACTGTGCTTACAAACTGTGCAATACTGTAACATTCCCAAAGGACATCAGGGAGACGACCTCAGAGAACATTTTTAAGTGACAGCTAGAAACAGATCTATTTCACTTTGCATTCAACTAGTCTTTCAACATGCAAAGTTTCCCTCCCCGTGAGACAGTATTTAGTGTTTAATTGTATGACTGTTACTGGTGTTATTCTTGTATTTATTATGTCACTGTTGTTGCTGATTGAACTTGTTTCCATTTAACCATTTTCCAGTTTTATATTTTTGTATAGAGGATGCTATATACCAATTATAATTAACCAAACAAATTTTTAGTTTTATTTTCTTTCAATTGATTAATCTACAGATACTTTTCTTGATTAATGTGTAAATTGTTTAGTCTATAAAACATCAGAAAACTGTGAAAATATAGTAATATGTATATATAATATCAGATATTACATCATATTAATGTAAGACAAGCAGATCATTTTCACATTTAAGAAGCTACAACCAGAGAATGTTTGACGTTTTTGCTTTAAAAATGATTTAAACGATTAACCGGTTACCAAAATACTTGCAAGTTATTTTTGTGTTCATCAACTAATTGATTAAATGAATCTTTGCAGTTCCAAAAAAGGTAATTGTCTTTAGTATAAGTATAAGACACATGAATCAAACTTGTTGACGTACAGCTACAACAGAAAAACATGAAGACAGAGGGAAAAAAATGTACGGGAAAGTGTTTCTTCAGTTAATCTGGCACCTGGTAAATTGGTCTGACTTCTGCTTTGAGTGCTGCCAGTGTGAACAGCAGGGGTTTAATCCACATGAGACAGCATGAGTGGAAGAGGAATCAAGGGGAATTATGGTACAGAGGGCCTCTGGCTGCGAGACCCTCCCCAGGAAACAGATGCCATTAAGTAGCTCCACACCTGGCAGTGGCTACTGTGCTATTAGCCTGTTAACAAAGTAAACCCCCCCTCCCTCCCTCCTTCTCCATGTGTGGCTAATGTCAGACACGTTCATCTGACAGAGAGATAATGTATTCTGTGTTAGTGTTAGAACCAGGCCCCGTCCCGTCCTAATCCTGCCTCTTTGAAGCCGTATAGAGCGACAGGGGTGGAAGACGTCTGGAGGCCGGCTGATTGGAGAACAGTTTGTACCTTGCATCACATCTTTAAGCAGATTTTATGACAACTTCAGTCTGACTAAGCTATCTGAAATGCATCTAGTGTGTGACCATAAATACAGTGACAAACAGGAGTGGCTGTGACATTGAAAACACATGCAGGTGAGTGTTTGTCGTCCCTCTCTCTCCCTCTCTCTGTGTGTGAGGTTAAAGTAAAAGCCTTGGCCTCACATGTGTTCATTTACAGTGCCTTGCTGTCCCACTGTGCAAACAGCCCATTAATTCCAGCCCTGTGATTGTTTCATACCACGCTCAGCCTGCGAGATCCAGCCTCCTCCTCTCTAACTTTAGACCAGGTCTTTCTTTTTCTTTCACACACACAGAAGATGATAACACACGCCTCTGTTAAGATGCCGTGCACGCAGTAGTGCAGTAAAATAACATGGCAGATCTTTAAAAGCCTACCTGACATCATGTATGACAGTGTGACGCAACTTTCTGCAAGTGAGCTATGCTTCAATAGTAGATGTAAAAGCTGTTCTACTGAATGAATGTGGGATTCTTGGTGATTATTTCCCTTGCACTTACCTCCCACAGAGCCTTGTCGGCCCTGATCTTTTAACAATATCAGATTAAGGCATCATCTGCTGGTATGTTTTATGTCCCAACCTGTGTGATCTACCTGCGGGTTTGTATTGTCAGTGAGTAGGTAGCTCTCACCTCACCTGACTGACTGCCAATGAAAACAAAAATTGAAATTGGCTACAACTGCAGGACTGCCAAAGGCTGAGGTGACATTAGCTTGTTCAAAATGATCTTGTGCAGGGACAAATGAAAAGAGTTGGGCTTGAAATAAGTAAAAGATCGAATACAATTTTAAAAATTAATAAATAAATAAATAAAACAGCAAGCAAGTTATTTTTGTATGCATGGATGTAAGTAAATACGAAAACTGAACAAATAAATACAAAATAATGAAATAAATGGACATTTATCAAACAAATAAGTACATAAGGTCGATACACTGACCTAATTAAATAACTTAAAGGTTATTATGTAACTAGTATTCCATCTAGCTGACTGAATAAACCAATACACATGTACATTTTTATTTGTCACACACACTCCATATTACTAAAACACCATTTGAAGTGGACAGTTGAAGGCCTGCACTTATGATTTAAAGCCATACCGTTTAGGTGAGATCCGGACCCCGCGTCCTTCCAGCTGACACCACATTGATTATAGAGTCCTGTCGCCAGTCGCTCAACTGGTTCCTTTAAAAAAAAATTAACTCAAAAAACACCTTGGTACGGTAACCACACAACTAAGCATTTCTTTCTCCTTTTAATAGTCCGTGACATCGCATGTGTCCCCCAAAAAATTCGACGAGGGAAAAAAAAAAAAAAACTAATTGTGAGAAACCAGAAAACTCTTCCAGTCCTAGGAGCGCTCCCACTAAATGTAATGAGCCCAGAAAAGTATCACAAACGTAAACCTGCCACACACTTTAGATATTCCATGAGCTGCTACTCCTCCGAGGGGGGGAAGGTATCTCAGTCCAAATATGTGAACGAAGAAGTGGAGAGGTGAAGAAGTTGGCCAAATGTTTTAAGATCTGAACTCCGCCTGAAACGCGTAAAAGTAAAGCCGGCGCGAGTTAGAGGCACAACGTCCGGTCGCGACTTTCAAAATAAACGCCGCGCGGGGGGACTCTCCCTAGCGATGGAACGTTCGACCGGCAGCGGTGCTTTTATTTCTAAGACGAAAAACAGCAACTTCCGGTGACATGTCTCGCTTACCGCCGCTAGCTTGACGGCGCCGACGACTTCGGTTTCTCCTGGGAAGCGCAAAGACAAGTCGAGGTTCTTTTTTCCTCATGAGGTTAGTATTGAAAAGAAAAAAGAGCCACAGCATTCAACGAGTAACATCTGTTAGAGCAGATGTATCTAGGACTCGTTTCCTAAACAGATGCATATAATATGAAACAGCAATCCCGGGTTTAGAGAGCAAAATTAGCCCCAAGAAAAAAAAAACATTTTCCCTCCCGCTTGCTAGATTTCACACATTTAATAAGAATTGTGTGAATTATTTAAAAGTCAGACTTCACATGTGCGTGACTGAGATGCTTTTTTTTTTTTTTTACCTTTACCTCCCCCCTTTCTTTCATCCCCGCCCCTCCCTTCACAAGAAAACTATTTGATGAATTACCAGAAATGTTGTGTTGGCTCGGATCCACGTAATGTGAGTTCATTGCGGGGTGGTAACAGTGCAAATTATTGCAAACAAGCCGCAGTGAAGCTGGATGGCGTAATTTGGTCAAGGTCCGCAGTGCATGGTGCAACATTATCCCCGTTTGGCACAATCAAACCTGAGGATGTAACCTTGCGTTTTAATGCCAAATCCGAGTCTGCTTTCAGATTGCTTCCTGTTTGCTTGTGCCAGATTTTATTTTTGGGGGGGTTGGGGGGTTGGTATGTGCCTGGCTCTTTGGCAGGTAAGTGTCTTGCTGAGGGGCATTTTGACAGGATAGTTTGGAGCTTGATGACCTCATTGGCTGTAATTATATAGTATTGGCACTTTTTTAATATACTTTATGGATGCAGGATCCAAAATATGTTTTACCATCTATAGAATGGTTTTTATAGAAAGTAGAAATACAGATGGCACACAAAATGCATAGGACAAAAAAGTACTTCTGTAAGATAACTTGTTTTTTAATTTACTGTGCAGTATATCCTGAGTAAACACATTTTAACAGGGGTGGACTTGCTGTTTTCGGGGCCTTAAGCAAGGGTTTACATGGGGCCACCTGAATCCCAGCCCTAATTCCTGTCATGCCAACCAGCTGTTATTTATAAATACTGCACCCCACCATAACTTCTTATTTGAAACTACAGGCCCGACAACACTTCACGTCTTTTACGAATCATTTTCAGAAGCAACTGTTTTCTATTAATACTTGCTTGTAAAAAAATATTTATTAACGCTGCGGGCAAAGAAAGGTAATTTGTTTTTGGAGCCGCACCACATCAAGGGATCTCTTAATAACAGATCTTAATATGAATAACGTAAATTAAACTAAATCTGATGCATGTATCCCTTTATCGCTGTGTTTTTTATGCACGTTAGATGATTGTGGAAGCTCAGAAAATGAGGAAACACACTCAGATATTTCTTACAAGAAACCTTCACCAATGTTAGTGGTTAAATGTGTTGTTTGTTTGTTTGTTTGTTTATTAAGATTCTCTTTAGCGTCTGCATAAAAGTTGCTATTCTTCCTGGAGAGCACACAGTTTACATTGTGACAATACTACCCAAATATACACACATTACTCATCCCTAGCACAACACATCATAATGCACATGTGCTGTAAATAAAACAATAACAACTGACTCTCTAAATGAGAACAAAAACGTAAACACGCCATTATTTTATCTGCATACGTTGGTCGGGTGAGTGCAGGCGGTTTCAGGACTCCTGTAAAGTTAAAAGGATGGAAACCAGAGCTGGTTGACTGGCTGCTCTGTCCACTCGCAGGTCTGTGGGGGGAAAGTCGGCGAAGGCCCGGAGGAGACACAATGGAGGTCTATGGAGGACACACAGGCCGACAGACAGTTCAACGGGTCCTCGGAGCAGATAAGTCGTCCCCACACAGACCAGACGAGGGTTCACTGCTATTGACCCACGAGAACAGCGCCTTCACTGAGCCTCCCCACCTTGAATGGCCTTGTTGAAAAGGAGAGCCATAAATTGGCGGATGAGCAGAGAGGGGGAGACGCTGCCTCCCTCGCCTCCCCCTCTCTCTTGCTCTCTCACATGCTATCTCTTTCTTTCCTTTACCAAGTAGTGGTTTCCATCTCACCAAACCCCTTTCCCCCTGAATGTTTAAAAAGATGAAAGGATAAGGAAAAGAATGGAGACAAAAGAGGGGAGGGTTGTGTTACAACCCTGCCCCTGAGAGACTGCTCATGAAAGAGTTCGGGGATGGGAGAGATAGGGACCGGAGAGGAGACACAGAAAGAGAAGGGGGGATCATGAAAAGAGGTTTTTCAAACTCAAAGCCGCTAAAACGGGTCACTTCTGTATAGAGAGGCAGGCTAAAGTGCAGTCTTCACTCAGGGACGGAGACATTTAACACTGTCAATACCCTCAGATGGAAGGGAGCGTTGATGTACTTGCACCCATTGACTGATTGCGCAAACACACACGATCACACACACACACTCTTTCTCTCTCAGTCCTGTCCGTTTCTCTTAACCGTTACCCACCGCAGCGGCACGAGATTTCGGGGAATCTTCCAGTAGATCTTCTTTATCATTAACTAGCCATCACCACACACACAGATTGGTGTCTCCCTTTTGGCGTTCCTCCCTCTTAGCATTTAGTGTCAGTCACTTAAAATCCTCACAACCCTCCCACCATTCTCTGTATCTCCTTCTTTGTCTGAACTTGCCCTGCATGCACTTAGATATTTCCGCCTCAGGGTGCATCAGTGAGAGAAAGAGAGAAAGTTGTTAGCTAAGTGTGGACGGTCAAACAAAGATGATGATTGAGAGGGCAGGGACACGCAAATCTAATTTTCTTAGGCTCTTGCCCACTTGCTCTCTCACTATTTCACACACACATACACGCATACATTCACATATGCTAAACTAACCGCAAGCATTTCACAATCGGGAGGATATAGAGGTTTATTTAAGACTCACAAAACAAGTTTTCCTTCATACTGTCACACTAACGCGTCACATTAAAAGCTTTCCAAAATCTCTGAGTTACCAAAAGCCCTTAAAGTTAAGTCACAATAACACAATGCTCTGCAGCGGTTTTCTGTTTTTCCTTTGGGGATTTGTGTTTTCTGACAAACAACATTTGACCCAAACAGATTTTCTGACTATTATTAAAGCCCCATAAAAAACAGATCCTTTTTTACAGCCCAGTCCTGCTTTGTACAGGAACTTGCAAAGCCTTTGGCAACATCTCTTACTGCGGCTCATAGCTGTGATATCAGTTTCACTACAGTCATTTTCTAATTTTTTTCTCTGCTCGTGATCCATCTTTTTGAATCCTGACATCTTCAACCAATTCTCATTTTTCTATTAAGAAAAAACACACTGAGACGTTTCCGGGAGTTTCCAGATGTCACTTTTACTACCTTCAACTCCTCTCATGAAATCTTTCCCACACGCAGCGCTGTCACACAGCAACTTACAGCTCTCGCTTTGGACACCCACCTTTATTTGATATCTGAGTGTAATTGAAAGGCAGCTATTATGGCCAATTACTGCAAATAGCTGAGCTGAGCTGTCAGGGGAAGGCTCACAGTCCGTCCGTCCACAACTGAGCCACCACGTCAGACCTCAATTACAGATCCTCGACCTCCCTGAGGTACCTGGTGTCTGTCCTTTATCATGTACCCCATCTTTGACTTCCTTCTTTAAACTCTCTCCAACTGATTTGATTTACATTTTCAGCCCCTTTCATCCTTCCCTCCATTATTCACCTCACCTACTAAACTCCAATCCCTCCTCCGCTTCCTTCCATCTGAATTGAAACCTCGCTGCAGTGAGAGCAGCACCACCATCGCCACCATTTACCACACACACATACACACTGAGATATAGCCGCATATGTTTCCAATTTTAGGCGTAATGCTCCTCTCGCCGCAATCTGAGCCAATTAGCCGAAGCCTCCTGGAAATGCGCCAGTCGCCAGCTATGGTGGTAAAGAGGTAAAGGGTCAAAGGTGAGGTCAGACTCTGATTAATATGTCACCTCTTGTCTGTCTGTATGTCTGGCTCACAGTCTGTCTTAGACATCCCTGGCTGCTGCGCTTTAGCTGCTGTTCAACGTCCCCACGGACATATTTGGCACAGGTTTAGGATTGTGCAGAAAAAGCAACCCAAGCTTGAAATTAAATTTCACAGCTTACCAAAAGGTCAAAGAGAATGAGTGACAGTGTCTGGAGCCAGACCACACATAAACACACAAACAACACACATGCACACTGAGGAAAAGTATGCACTGAACACACACACACACACACACGTCCTCTCTGACACACAAACAACATGCATCTACAAGTCTTTCCTGCGTGAAACTGAAATGAGTGTGTGGAATGTTTACCTTCGGGAAAACGGATTGGGAGGGAGAGGGAATATGAGAGCATCAGAGCTGCAAAGCCCTCATTAGGTGAACGGACGACTGAGTTTGGTAATTCTGTTTAATGCCTAATGAGAAACAGGTTCAAATGGGTGCAGAATGCAGACTGGCGCTACATTGCATTACCTGGCAGTCTGCCCCGCTCCCAGTCTGTCTGTTTATATTATGTGTTATGTGTGATGTTGGTGTAGAAGCTGGGCGGGTTGTCAGTTTATGAAACAGCTTCAGACGCCGCCATACAGCCGTCGCCGCATGCACACACTCTGCTCGTCTTGTTTACATCGTCTGCACCGCCGATCCCTCTCCTCTTACAGCACCTCGCTCTCTCTCTCCCCAGATCATCTCTCAATCACTCCTCCTCGCCTCCTTATCTGTCCCTCCTCAGTGTCTCCTTACAGGACTCAATCCACCTACAGCGGCTACACTTTCATTCACTTGCCACAGATTCGTTGCAGTCTGGATGCCCCCGGATTAGAC